CCATTTGAGAGCACTATTAATCCATTTCAGAAGGGTGGACCCATCAGGATCCAAATGTTCCCCAAAGGTGTCACCTCTTACCATTGTTTTGTTGTGGATTAAGTTTCTAGCAAGTGAATTTTAGAGGAAATAAAAACATTTGAACTGTAGCAAAGGGATTATTTATAACACGAAGAATCTAGAACAATTCAAATATTCATGAGTGTTTATGAGCATAGAACACAACCATTAGTTATCAAAGTGATATATGTTTTACTGATACGAAAAAATGTTCATGGCAAAATGAGTGCCAGAAAGATAAAGTAGCATGGGGCTGGAGAGATGGTGGTTCAGTGGTTAAGAACGCTTACTGTTCTTGTGGAAGACCCAGGTTCAATTCCCACCACCCACATTAGGAGGCTCACAACTGTAACTCCAGCCCAGTGGGATCCATTGCTCTCTGGATTTTGTAGGCCCCTACATCCATATAGTACACATACACACACACACACACACACACACACACACACACACACACACACACACACACAGATTTTTTAAAAATCCAAAAGAAGGAAAGAGTAGCATGTGCAGTGTTTAGTCACACATAAAATTGTGCTATTAAATCTGTATATGTAATATTGTCATATATCAAGAAGATATTTCCCCAAATTTTAATAATAATGAGCTCTAAGCTGGATGTGGTGGCGCACACCTGTAATACCAGTGTGTGGGAAAGTGGAGGCAGGGAGGTTACTTCAGGATCATCCTCAGCTACATAGTAAGCTTGAGGCTGTCCTGGACAGCATGAGACATTGTCTCAAAAAAAAAAAAAAAACCCCAAAAACCTAAAAAGTGATCTTTGGGTATTCTATTTTTTGTGTTTGTGTACATTTTTTTTTAATTGACCACATATTCTTCTTCTTCTTTTTTTTTTTTTTAAAAGATTTTATTTATTTATCGTGTATACAGTGAGTGTTCAGCTTGCAGGCCAGAAGAGGGCACCAGATCTCATTGTAGATGGTTGTGAGCTACCATGTGGTTGCTGGGAATTGAACTCAGGACCTCTGGAAGAACAGCCAGTGTTCTTAACCTCTGAGCCATCTCTCCAGCCCGACCACATATTATTCTTAAGAACACAAATTAAATTAGAAAATACCTTCTCTGATTTGGCTAGCTTGCTAAAGGAAAAAGAACATTGTCCATATCCAAATGTGTTAGTTACCTGCCTCAACGCTTGGGACAAAATGCCTGACGGAAAGGCATGGTAGCCAGAGTGTGAGGTGGCTCGTTAGGAAGCAGTCGAGGAGGTGGAGAGAGATGAACGCTTGTACTCCACTGTGTGCTCCTCTTTATTCAGTCAAGGACCCCAAATAGAATGGTACTGCCCGTGTTCAGTCTAGGACCCCAACCCATAGAATGGTACTGCCCATATTTAGGCTCGTCTTCACACCTCAGTTAGGCCTCTCTGGAGACGCCTTCCCAGATATGCCCAGAGCCATGTCTCCTAGGTGATTTAAGTTCTGTCAGGTTGACAGTTGTCTTGGGATTGTTGTAGCTGTGATGAAACACTATGACCAAAAGCAGCTTGGGGAGGAAAGGGTTTATTTGGATTACATAACCTGGGTCACAGTCCACTGAGGGAAGCTGAGTCAGGAGCTCAGGACAGGAATCTGAAGGCAGGAACTGATAGAAAGGTCATGGAATAACGCTGACTCGCTCAGCCTGCTTTCTTACACCAGCCAGGACCACCTGCCCAGAGGTGCATCATCCCTACTGGGCTGAAGGTCCTACATCAGTTGTCAATCTGGAAAACAGACCACAGGCTTGCCTACAGGGAATCTGATGAAGGCTTTTTCTTAATTGGGGTTTCTCTTCCCAAAAACCTTTCTAGCTTTCTCAAAAATTTCTTGAAAATTGGCAAAAACCAAACCCAAACAACAAACAAACAAAACTCAACCAGGACAAGCAGGATTAGCCATTCCAGCAGGTGTTCCTTGGTCTGCAGTCTCCGTGGTCTGGTAAAGCCATTGCGAGTTATTGTTGGTTTACAATACACCTTAAAATTTTCTTTCTGGTCCTCAGGATTTATTTTCTTTATAAGATACATTTTGGACTAAAAGTAATGATGTTATCATCAATGCTTTGAATATCAAGACTCATACATATAGGGGCCTATGAATTTGCAACTGCTTTGTGGAATCCAGTCCACTTTGTGTATATACACATTCTGAAGTGTTTGAGATGTGAAAGTAGAATATGTCTACCTATCATAGACAGTGACAGTTAGCAAAAGAGTGCATTCCTCACATCTTCTCAGGACCCGTTAGGCAGGTTCCCGACTTACAGATGAGAGAATATAGAAATGTCACCGAAGAACCTGCACTCAGAACACGGCACCTCAAACACCCTTGTAGATGTAACCAACCTTCTTATTAAATAAGAAACACAGAACCAATGCAAAGAAGAAAGCCAAGAGGTCAGAGCTAAGAGCTAAAACCTTACCCTTCCTCCTGCGGTGGTCCTACCTCTCCGAACCAGAGCTACCCCTGTGTTAAAGTCTTTATATAGAGTTCCTGTTCTGCCTTCTCATTGGTTGTAAACCCAACCACATGACTGCCTCCTCACGGCCTGTCTGTATAGGCCTCCAGGTTTTCCATGATTGGTATTGATTAAAGGCATGTGTATCCAATAATGGCTGTATCCCTGAACACACAGAGACTTACCCAGCTCTGCCTACCAAGTGCTGAGATTATAAGAGTACACCACCACTGCCCTGCTTTCCTATGGCTTGCTAATAGCTCTGACCCCCAGGCAACTTTATTTATTAACCTACAAATAACATTTTAATACAAATAAAATATCACCATACACCTTTGGTCTCCTCAGTACTCTGCTGAAGAATTTGCTCTTCATGCTGACAGGCTGCCTAGGGAGCTCTTCCTTCTCCAGACCTTTGTAATAGCCCATCACACCACCTCAACGATGGGAGCAGCTCTGGCTTGTTTTTTTGCAGCATTGGCACATGTGTGCTCACTGACCAGTGTCCACAGTTTATCCAGGTTGACAGTCAAGCAGAAGCTCTGGCCCCTCTTTTTTTTTTTTAAGATTTATTTTTTTATTATGTATACACTGTTTTGCCTGCATGTATGCCTACGGGCCAGAAGAAGGCACTAGATCTCATTACAGATGGTTGTGAGCCACTATGTGATTGCTGGGAATTGAACTCAGGACCTCTAGAAGAGCAGCCAGTGCCCTTAACCACTGAACCATCTCTCCCGCCCACTCTGGCTCCCCTTTAAGTGGTAATGCCTCATCCCAGCTCTCCCAAAGTACCCTAGATGGTATTTGTGGAAGTTGATCCTGTGGGGATGCATGTCTCCAGCATTGCCCTGGCCTCATGGCTGCTTGTTGTGCTTCCCAATGAGGCAGAGGTTCAGTGGCCCCTGAGTTTCCAGGTCTTCCTCACTCTGGATGGCGTGGCGGTGGCCCAGATCCTAAATACCTGTCAAGCATTACAGCTTTAGCAACAGTTACACACTTTTCCTGGGGAGATGTGCAGTAAAGCTTACTCGCCCCAGATGGGATACCAGCAGACCAAAGAAATTATTCCATCTCAGTGCAGTTTGGGGCTGTTACAAAGGTCTGGGGAAGGAAGAGCTCCCTAGGCATCCTGTCATCATGAAGACCAAATTCTTCAGCAGAGAACCAAGGAGACTAAGGATGTTGGAGGTGCCATGTTCTGAGTGCAGGTTCTTGGGTGACATTTCTATATTCTCTGTAAGTTGGGAACCTGCCTAACGGGTCCTGGGAAGATGTGAGGAATGCACTCTTTCGCTAAGTAAATTACTTGGTTCTTTATAGGTGCATGGTGAGTTGGACAGCTTTGTCATGGCAAATTCTTACCTTAGCATGCACGGTGACTTTACCAGAGTCCATCTCCAGTCAGCCTTTCACCCCTGTGCACACTATCAGCTGGGAGATGGGTCTGGAGGGACCAGGAAGGAGTAAGTGGCTGGAATCTCAAGCAAGAGTCTGCTGACCTTCCCTCTGCCTTCTGCTGGGGAATGTTAATAGGAGCTCATGAGGGTGGCAGTCGCGTGATTACAGCTGGTCCGCAAGGCTGTGTCACGCTCAGAGCCTCACAGCTATAGACTGTCCATTGTTTACCCTCATGGTTGCTGGGCTGATGGGAAGCTGCAGGTCACTCGCTGCCACTGCCTGGCCTCAAAAGATTATACCACATTTATATATTATTAGCTCAGGAAAGATCAAAATTCAAGATCCAAATTATGGGATTTTGTTTGTTGTTGTTGTTTGAGACAACAGTTTTGCATTGTAGCCCAGGCTAGCTTTGAACTGTCAATCCTGCCCCAGCCTCTTGACTACTAGGATTGTATATATCTGCATTCACCTCCAAGTATGGTTTCTGATGAATGTATAACAGCTTTTGCATTGTAATAAACAGTTGTGAGCTGTACAGTGTTAAGGTGGAGGCCGTCTGAGTTCTTTTTTTTTTTTTAATCCTCTAGATCACATGTTCTTAACCTTCCTCATGCTGAGACCCTTTAATGCAGTTCCCCATGCTGTGGTGACCCCCCCCCCCCCCCCAACCATAAAATTGTGTTTGTTGCTACTTCACAACTGTAATTTTGCTACTGTTATGAACCATAATGTAAATATCTGATATGCAGGATGGTCTTAGGCAAATGTGAAAAGGTCATTTGATGCTCAAAGGGGTCTCGACCCACAAGTTGAGAACCCCGGCTTAGATCGAAGAGAAAACTCTCATTAAGAGAAGAACTAGTGCCTTGCTTTGTTTTCTCTGTGGCACATTGTGGCCTGTCTGTGTTGTTGAGCAACATGCTGTGAATTAACACTGAGTAAGATTCCAGGACACAGAGCCAATGTAAAACAGTAGTAACTGTTGGTGAGAAGTTGGGGTGCTTCTAAAATCAGCAGCATAGACTCTGCTGTCGCAGATTGTCACCTGATCTAAATCTGTTCGTTTCCTCTGACAGGGTGTCTTAAGCCTTGAATATTGTGTAGGTATTATTGGCGGCAAACCTAAACAGTCGTATTACTTTGCTGGATTTCAAGGTTAGTGACTAAGCATGATATTTCTTTATTGTTTTCTTTTAAAAGGGGAAAGTTAACAAGAGACGTTTGGAAACGGTATGGTTAAGAGAGCCCAGTGAGGACCTCAGACGGCTGTCAGTCCCCCCTCAGCTTCGCACTTGGCATTGGTCCACAGCGTAATTGGATTCCTTAAAATGTGGGCTTAGTTTCTGGTACTGCATAAACAAAGCCTAATTTATTGGTTTCCCCGAATTCCAGAAGACACCGCTGCCGCGTTCTGGCAGTTGCTATTTACATATTTACTTTTGACCGTTTTTTTAGTGGTGTTCGTTGATGAGGAAATGACAAGCAATATGTTCTTGCTGTCAGAACAAAGAAGGCAATGCATTTTTCATATGCAAACTGTAGAATATAATTGTGTGTTTGTGAAAGTAATTTTATCACCAAAAATTAAATGACAGTCTCATCACTTTATAAAATTCTGCTTATACAAGCATATTTGATTATGCAAAGTTAATCTATGCTGCATAGACCCGTGTTTCCGTCAGTATCAGGCTGGCAGGCTGTTCCACCTAGACTTTTTTAGCTGCTCTACATAGAAATTGGATTGTAAGCAGTGTCATAATAAGGTGTTTTTTGAATTACTTGTCTTCTGTTTTGTCCTTGTAGATGACAGTTTGATTTACATGGATCCTCATTACTGCCAGTCCTTTGTGGATGTCAGCATAAAGGATTTCCCTCTTGAGGTACTGTACGTGGGGAGTCGGGATTGCTTCCTTCCCGTCTGAGCAGACTGATGTTTGGAGATGTGCTAGGGAGCCGGGCCTTTCTAGTATAACAGTCACAAGGCAGTATTTGCTAGTTTATAAAACCACAGTCAGCACTGGTCAAAGGGATGCTGAATTTTAATTTGTGATTTACTGCCTTCCTCATTTATGTCCCTCTCTGATGTGGTAGATCCTGATTGTACTGAAATAAATGATCAAGTCTCTGAGGATTTTTGTAGCCAGATAGCTAAGCAGTGCATAAACAGAAGAATCTATAGTGTTAGGTCTGTCCTGGACGGGGAGGAGACAAAAGGATGGTTTCCCAAAGAAAAGCCCAGCAGCTGGAGCCTCTGCCCTCCCACCCCCTACATTTTCAGGTGCTTATTTGGATTCCTAGCAGTCGTTGAAGCTCATTTTTATAGATTCTACTTTTCCTATAGGTGGCCATTTTGTCATCCAGCATTATAAGTCAGAAATATTTGCATTCCTAAGTGAGATGGCTAACTACTATATCATTTTACTTTTTTTTTTCCTAGTTGATGCTTTTACAGATTAGATTGATTTGATCACGAATGGCAAGGGCACTGATTGTAACTGATAGAGTCAATGCAAAATTTGTTAAATGTTGTGTTTTAAAAATGTCTTTTGAGGGGCTGGAGAGATGGCTCAGAGGTTAAGAGCACCGACTGCCCTTCCAGAGGTCCTGAGTTCAATTCCCAGCACCCACATGGTGGCTCACAACCATCTGTAATGAGATCTGAGATCTGGCACCCTCTTCTGTATACATAATAAATACATCTTTTAGAAAAAAGAGTATTTGTTTAAAAAAATGTCTTTTGAGCTAATGTTAATTCTTAACAGTATTCAAAGGGATAAATATGAAAACAAACTGCAAGGTTAAAGTCTGGTTTAGGAAAATATATTGTAAAACAACCTAGCCTCTTGTGTAAGTTAATAATACCTCAGCTGTGTTCCTCCTTTCATAGAATTGCATGTGAACCACAGTAAACCTTAGGAGGTCTGCTGGGCAACTGGGCTTAAGGCCTCATCATTGCTAGGCAAGAGCTCTACCACTGACCTAAATCTCTAACCCCAAATTTCACATTCTGCTTTTGTCATATCAAGTGGAGATTTTAAGCTGCCTTGCATTCCCAAGCATCCTTGCTTTGATGTCTTCTGTATATGCTGCTGAAACTGTGCAGACAGTGGATAGCAGGCATGGTCTAAAGCCTCCTTCATACTTTGTTAAAATCACATTTGTAGACTTTTTCTTTTGGATGGAGAAATTCAAATTGCAGACCTTTCCCCTCTAACTCCATGTAAATAATTACTTGTAGTCCTGAGATTGTTAATTGAGTGACCTAAGTTTAACAGGATTGTGAAATTTTAAATAGAATATCTGCACATGAAGATTAAAGAAGATATTTAAATATATCCTTTGCTATTATTCTTACATGTAGATTTCTTACATTTTTAGAGTTAAACTTTTAACATTTTGAAATTAAATTAGGTCCACTTCTTTCTTTCTGAACTGTCATTTATTGAGTTTTCTAGATGAAAGTCTGTAGGCCTCTCTCGAGCTCTTCTGTGTATCTCCAAATGCTTTTGTTATGTCTCTATATTAATTTTCCTCTTTGTGAAATTATTTCATGAATATGTTAGGATATATTGTTGACTTAGCATGTGCGATTGAGTAGAATTCTATACTAGGGGAAGAGAATCTTCCTCGTCTTGGGTCATCTTCATTAGAGTTTTTGAGTCAAGGTTTCACTGTGTAGCCCTGGCTGGCCTGGAACTTGATGTGTAGATCAGATTGGGTTTAGACTCCTGGAGGTCTGCTTGCCTCCGCCCTTGCTCAGGGAGGGGATTAAAGGTGTGCATCACCATGCCTTCCTGAGGGCAACTTTTAATGTATAAAGCACCATGGTGTGGTTTTCAGGGGGACAATGGGGTTCAGAAGAGCAGTTTAGCAGCCTTAGAGAAAAAGTAAAAAGACTGTGAGAAACCAGAAGAGAATGAGAGGCTCTCAGGGCCTTAGCAGTGAGTACAGGTTGAGTTGCAGGTTTTCAATGTCAGTGGCTTCAATAAGACAGAATTTTAGTTGTTGAGAATGGGAGGAGTATGACACATGTGTGTATTCATGCATTTATACATATGTATATCTTACAAGTATAATTTTATATGCCCGATGTATCTGTGTTCTCACATGAAATGTATTTACAATGTTTCTCCTGGTCGGCTCAGCTCAGAGTAGTCTGAAGGAGCCTCAGTTGGGGGGATTGCCTCGCTCAGATTGGCTTGCCAGCATGCCTATGGGGCATTTTCTTGAGTGAACATTGATGTAGGAGGGACCAGCCCACTGTGGGTGGTGCCTGCCCTAGGCAGGGGTCCTGGACTGTATGTGGAAGTTAGCAAACAGAAGCTGGGAGTGAGCCAGTGAGCAGCATTCCTCCGTGGTTTCTGCTTTCAGCTCCTGCCCTGACTTCCCTCATTTATGGACTGTGCCCTGTAAGCTGAAATAAACTCCTTTCCAAGTTACTTTTGGTCCAGCTGATATCGTGCAACAGAAAGCAAACCAGAACAGTATTACATATATATTATTAATGAATAAAAGTTTCTTAATCAGACACTATGAGTCCTTATTGTTTTCATATACTTCCAGAATAATAGACTGTTTCTTAAAAATACTGTTTTTATTTTATTTTTATTATTATTATTTTTTTTTTTTGGTTTTTCGAGACAGGGTTTCTCTGTGTAGCTTTGCGCCTTTCCTGGGACTCACTTGGTAGCCCAGGCTGGCCTTGAACTCACAGAGTTCCGCCTGCCTCTGCCTCCCGAGTGCTGGGATTAAAGGCGTGCGCCACCACCGCCCGGCTATTTTTATTATTTTTTGAGATGGGGGTTTCACTGTATAGCCCTGGCTGGCCTAAAACTCACTTTGTAGACCAGGCTGGCCATGAACTCAGAGATCTACTGTCTGCCAAGTGCTGGGATTAGAGGCATGTGCCCCCACTCCTGGCAAATACTAAGTTCTTAAAGGTAAGAAAAGCTCTGTTACTGGGCATGTTTGTTGAAATTTCAAATTTCAGACACTAGAAGGATCATACAGTGGTAACTGTTTCAGTCACCACCAATAAATTAAGAAAAATAGTGGCACTAAAGTTTTTGGACAGGTGGACAAGGGAGTGAGTGAATTTGTCAGGGAAGGGCACTCTTCATGACTCACACACATGAATTGTGGTTAGCAAGCTTGTCCTCTTAACTACTTGGGAAGCTTCGTCTCAAGCTCCAGAAGAGCATAGGCATGTCTGAAAACAGCTGTTCTGGTATTGTTTAGATGTTTAGGTAATAAAATCCATTATACCAAATAATTACCATTCTTAACACATCTATAAAGAGTGTGAACCCACAATATCTCATTTAAGAAATGAATTCCATAATTAAACATCTAATCATGTCTGGCATTTATTTAGGTGCCTAATAATTATTTGTTTAGGCAATGAATAAATGATGCATTAAAAATGAAATAAATAAGAGTTGACTCTTTTTTTCCCAGAAATATATTTCATTGTCACAAAAGAAAATATCCATAGTTATTATTCCCTAAAATATGTATATAAGCTAGTGTAGCTAGAGTTTTCCTGCCTGGCCCAAAGTCAGGACAAATCTCTCTCACCTGCCAGTCCCACAGCCGCTCAGACCCAACCAAGTAAACACAGAGACTTATATTGGTTACAAACTGTATGACTGTGGCAGGCTTGTGGCAGACTTCTTGCTAACTGTTCTTACAGCTTAAATTAATCCATTTCTATAAATCTATACCTTGCCACATGGCTCGTGGCTTACCGGCATCTTCACATGCTGTTTGTTATCGTGGCGGCTGGCAGTGTCTCTGACTCAGCCTTCCACTTCCCAGAATTCTTCTCCTCCTTGTCCCGCCTATACTTCCTCCTGCCTGACTACTGGCCAATCAGTGTTTTATTTATTGACCAATCAGAGCAACATATTTGCCATACAGAACATCCCACAGCAAGCTAGAGGCTGCTATTACCAGACACCCAAATTTTAAAATTAAATCATACTTGCATAACTTAAAGAATGATCACAAAATGGACATGGCCTGACAACACCACTTCAGAAAATATTTAAAAGGTGAACTTATTTTGCAATAAATCGAAGTGATTAGGAATTTAAATTAATGTTTGACTTCATAATCTTGGGAGAACCAAAGAGCATGACTTCAGCTTAGAGACCTCAAGTGCCTTTCTGCGTCCTGCTCCTCATGCAGCAACAGTGACAGCAGCCTCACTTTGGGGTGAAATCAGAGATTTATGTCTGTGCTTTGTGGCTATCAAGATAACCACAAGATACAGTCTAGCATTTGTGGTTCTTATCTATGGTGATTGTGGTCGAACAGGCACATGCTGTTCTAGTTACTGAAACTAGAAAAGCTTTCGTCAGGCTTTGTGCAGAGAAGGACACATTCACCGATGAGTTAAACATGTATCACTGTACCCTGTACAGACTTTTTGATTGTCTTCCCTATGTGGTAGTAAAAACTGAAGAATCATTTCTTGTTACTGGTTTTCAGCGAATTGGGCAAATAATTATTTGTAGACATATTATGTATAAAAGACCTTTTCATTAATATGACCTAGAACTGTGCCTTGTACCCCCCCCCCCACTCCTCCATATTACAGGTAACAGTTTACTTAGCTTTCCTGTATTTCAGATCTGTTTTTAATCTCTTTAAAATAAAATAGTTGTAACTATATTAGGGAAAGTCTGATGAGACACTGCTTGTATTGGCTAGTACCTGAGAGATCTAGTGTAGCTAGGTTGGACTCCACTAATTAAAGAGAGTGTTGGCTAAGCATTTTGTGCAAGTCAGGGATTGGTGTATGTTTATTGACATGTTGGATCTGAGACACAGTTGGCTTGCTCAGAATGTTTTTTTTTTTGTTTGTTTGTTTTTTGTTTTTTTGCAGAGTTTCACCTGCCTCTTAACATGTTCCTTATGGGGATGAACAAGAATATAAAACAGTAGAAAAGAAAATTGGAAGGATATTTAATTCTATGCCAATAATTTCACACTCAGGAGACAGAGGCAGGTGGATTCCTGTGAGTTGGAGGCCGGCTTGGTCTACAAAGCCAATTCCTGGCCAGCCAGGGTTTACACAGTGAGAGCCTGTCTCAAAAACTAAACAAGCAAAATAACAAGAACAACAAAATCAAAGAAAAACTCTGAAGCTGACTATATCAATATAGGGCACTTACGCGAGTCTGTGTGTTAGGTTATAAGAATAATAAAGCAGTTTTAAGCATTAGAAAGAACCTTCATTTATCCATGTGTACATACAAGATTAAAAAGAACATTTATCCACGTCCATTTCAATTCCAAGTAACTGTGGTATGAAAATAAAATTTTGTACATTTTAAAAAAGACTTCTGTTAGGTATATGAGTGTGTGCAATGCCCCTGGAGGCCAGAAAGGGATGCTGGATTCCCTGGCACTGGAGTTACAGGCAATTGTGAGTCACCTTGTAGGTGTTGGGTCCTCTGCAACAGTAGCTGATCCCCTGGCACTGGAGTTACAGGCAATTGTGAGTCACCTTGTAGGTGTTGGGTCCTCTGCAACAGTAGCTAGTGTTCGTATCAAGCCATCTCTCCAGCCCCTGAACATAAAAATTTTGATTTAGTCCCTGTTTATGGATATTTGGTTCATTTTTAGCTTTGGCTATATGAATAAAACCGCTATGAATATTTATGTATAAACAGTGAAGAATCTCTAATAAGACAGACTTAACTTAGTCTCCTGGCTAGCTAACAGGGTTCTAGACTAGACTACAAATGCCAGCTCTGTGATCTGTGCTCCTTCTTCTCTTCAAGTGTTAGAAATGCATTCCATGTTTGAGAAGTTGGCTTTGTTTATGCTTGATAAACAGCATAGGTCATGTAGGCTGAAAGTCTGGTTAAATGTACACGATCCTGGTTCTTGGGTTTTACATGTTTAAAGAGATGGGAAGGAAGGGCTAAAATCAGCTCCTTAGAAAATATGTTTATAGTTTTGAGAAAAGGTATTTACTTCAGTCCATCAAGTAAGGGTAAATTAATCCCAAACTATTCTAAAAATTACAGACATTCCACTGTCCTTCTCCTAAAAAGATGTCATTTCGGAAAATGGATCCTAGTTGTACGATAGGATTTTACTGTCGAAACGTCCAGGACTTTGAACGAGCGTCTGAAGAAATCACTAAGGTACCATATTAAAAGCCTGGTGTATAATGTTTGTAAATTACCTGAGTTAGAGTCTATAACAATAAATGTGCAAACTGTTACATGTCGGGAAAATTCTTCCTTGAATGTTACTAACTCTGGGGAGCCAGCCTTTGAGACAAGGTTCCAGTGACTAGTTGAAAGTGTTGTCCACTAGGTGGCAATGTTGAAATAAAAATCATGTCAACTCTGGCCTGGGACAAGCAATTAGGTTACATCCTATTTGAAGAGGATTTTAAAGGGCACTCCCTTAGGGGTAGAAGAAAAAATTAATGAAGTATTTGATCAAGTCAAATTTCATTTCTTTTTACTCCAAGTGCTTCTTTTATTTATATATTTTTAAAGAGAAATGATATTTTTGCGTTTCTTAGAACTGCTTTATCAAACGGAGTGTGTTGTTATCTTTTAGTAACTGTGTCTTGTCTGGTCTGTTCTACTTAATTGCTCTTTGAAGTAGTTACTCAGCTACTTTTTACATTTAAAGTGGTGCATATTTTTGGTGTGTGAACACTGCTGGAACACATACAGAGCTTTAATAACTCCCGTATTTAGTACTTTAGAAAAGAAAAAAGATTAGCTGCCCAAGAAGCCAGAGTAACTGGATGGGTGTCTTCATCAGTAGTTACATAGACTGTCCTTTTATGGTAAGTCAGGACAACACTAGAATCACCGTGAGGCACTCAGAACTTGTGCTCAGATGTAATAGGGATTTTATTACTGTTTAACGTCCCTTTGAATTTATTCATTCAGGAAAGTAGACATATAGTAGCTTAACATTTTAGTTCAGCAATGTAAAAACAGCATGAAAATATTAAGTACAAAATATCAAATGAGAATTTTAGTTTACTTGACTTTCCAAGAAGAACAGGAAATTTAACAGGAATGTGACTGAAAAATGAGTGAGGAGAAAGTGAGATCAGCGAGACCTTCCTCCATCCTGCCCACAGTCCTCACTTCTCACTCTCCCTGGCAACAGGGAGGCCAGTGAACAGAGCAGATCATGGAGTTCCCATTGCTTCCTTCCTTGAAATCAGAAGTGACAGTGTATGTTTTGGTTTGCTAATCCTTTGTCTTTGTAAAATACCATATATGTGCTAAAATATATAAATTCAGGCAATCCGGTGATAGATGTTGATATTGATGAGTATTTCCACATAAAGGTATATTTCTCTGTTTTTATTAGCTTACTTTCTGTTTGGATCAGAATAAGTGTGTTTGAAATGGGAGTACAGTCTACGCCTATGGCAAAACGAAGCATTTGCAGAGGAGTTACATATTGATCTTTCTGAATAAGAATAGTTACTATGGTTTTCTTCACCAGAAAAGCAATTAGAATTATTGCTGATGTATCAGGGCAATGTGCAGTGTTAAGGCAAAGGGAAACTGTGCTGCAGTGTCTTCTGGAAGTTCCGAGAATTTTCAAGAGCCAGTTCCCTACTTTCTTAAGATAGTGCTTCTGAGTCGTATCAAAGCCTCACTTTGTCAATTACTTTTGCTTGGGCAGTTCTAAGTTAAGCACACACACCCCAAACCAGAATATGGTATTTTTAGTCAACCTAATTGTTTTCTGTATTTCTTTTTTAATAGAACTTATTTTCTCTTTTCTCATTTTGAAAATGAAGCTAGGCAGCCTAGAGTGTCATGTTTAATTTGTAATGTTCTATGGGCGAATAGTCTTCTTATGCTGTGTGATTGAAAAATGTTAATAAAAATTATTAAGCTAGTTATTGGATGGAGTGCATCCTGTCTGGTATGTACATAGCTACTGTATACAAACATAAAGTGACCAAGATGGAATTCCTGGTTTGAATAAGTCATAAAGCTTCTAGCCTCGAGTAACATTTATGCTTAAGGAGAGGGAACATGACAAGCAGACATATATTGCATTGAATATGATAAGCGTCTATACGAAACTAGAAATAAATTGATGGGGAAGGAAGCAGGTTGAACCCAGAGAGATGGCACATCCAAGTCTACGTATTTTATTGTGGTGGTGGTATTTAAGTGGAGCCTGAAAGCGTATGCATAATTCCCATTGCTTGGTGAGAGGGAACGTGCTTGAAGCCAAGGAAATAGTCAGAGGGCAGGCCGAGAGAAGCAGCGTTGTGGGGCATACCCAGAGAGGGATCCACTCTGAAGGATGCCTAGAGTACATAAAGGACAGACTTCCTGTCCCCTGACGACCTGAGCCAGAACCCCAAAGGGTGTGGTCTGGAGATTTCAATTTCTAACAAAGCCATCTTTTACACCAGAATTGGAGAACTACTTGTGAGTTAACCCAGGGCGTGATTTGGTATTTCCAGGTGTCACTAAGGACAAACATTTAATACATATATTTATTTCTCTTCACAGTAGAAAACATGGTGGGTGTAGTAAACATATGATTTCCCCAGAACTGTTGAAGTCATAAATGGTGAAAAGGAAAGTGTTCATTAATCACAGTAGAGGTAACATACATAGCAAAGCAGGGAAGGCCGTGTATGAATGTCTGCAGCTTAGGAAACTGCACTAGGAAACAGGGCAGGGTGAGCGACACTCGAAAAGTACACTGACATAATATTGTAGAGAAGTGAGAATGTCAGGCTGAAGCAGCACATTAATAATGGATTTTATGACATTAAAATTTAAACTTCAGGCATATAGACGTATGAGGAAAATGCCTGTATTCTACCACTGAGCTTATGAAAAATACACATATGCTATACTTGGTGCGAATCCAATGTCCGTGGCTCTTTCCCCAGTTGCATTCCTGTCCTTACTTGTTGCTGGTAACTTCCATATTGGATCAGTCTGTCCCACCCACTTCATACACCCACAAACATCATATATTACTTGGTATGTTATTAAATTTCTCAGTCTTTCTTTTGTTGATAGTCATTTGCTTATTTCAGTTTTTGTTTTGTTGGTTTGTTTTGTTTTGTTTTTGAGACAGCATTTCCATGTATAACCCTGCCTGTCCTGGAACTTGCTCTGTAGAACAGACTAGACTGGCCTCAAACTCACAGAGATCTGTCTCCTCTGCCTCCTGACTGCTGGGATCAAAGGCGTGTGCCACTGCCCGGCTGCTTATTTCAGTTTTTAGTTACAAATAATATTCTATTTTTATTTTCTTTTTTAAAAAGAGTTATTTATTTTTATGTACATCAGTGTTTTATCTACAAGAATTTAAGTATATCACATGCAACACAGTGCCTGTCAAGGCCAGAGAGGGCGTCATATCCCCTCTGGAATGGAGTTACAGATGGTGTGAACAGCCATGGGGCTCTGGGGATTGAACCCAAGTCCTCTCCAAGTGCTTTACTTTTTGAAGCCATCTCTCTAGCCCTATGAACAGTATTTTAAAGAATATTCTTTTTTTCTCTCTCTTTCTGAGACAAGGTTTTTCTGTGTAGCAGTTCTGGCTATCTTGGAACTCACTTTTGTAGACCAGGCTGGTCTCGAACTCACAGAGATTCCCTTGCCTCTGCTTCCCAAGTGCTGGGATTAAGGGTGTGTGCTACCACTACCTGGCCCTAAAAAATATTCTTGTGCATATCTAATTCTTTTAGGATTGCATTAGACATATTCTGTGCATCAGCATAGAAATGCTGGGCATGGGGATGCATGGTTCTGTGTTTACCACATGCTGTCCAATGTTGTCCAAAGTAATCCTAAGGAGCAATGTGCAAGAATTCCCAACACCTTTTATGACAAGTGAAAGTATCTGACTAAAATTTTAAATCAGTCTACTGGGTAGAGGTAGTATCTGTAGTGGGTAGCTGTTTCAGCTTTGACCCATTGAAGCTTCTGGTAACTGTCACACTTGAGGTGGGGCCGAGACAGGAGCCCTTAAGACCTAAGATCCGGATGTACGGCTCTCTTGGTTCCTGGATCCTGGACGCTGGAGGTAGATGGAGCAGAGTTCTCCAGAGAACAGGACTGGACTGCGCTACACCTTTCCCGGATCCTATAACCTATCCCTTTACTTGTAAGTTAACCCACAAAATAAACCTCCCTTTTAACTATGTGGAGTTGCCTTAATACTTCCACCAATAAGTATCTGTTTGGAGTTTTAGTTTATATTTCTCTGATTGGTAGTGAGATTAAACATCTTATCAGGGTCTACTGGTCCATTTAGCTCCTCTTCTGTGCATTTCTGGCTCCCTTCTTTCTCTATTCTTCATTAGGGCTAATTACTTATGAGGGAAGGCTTTGTAAATCTGGACACGACTACTTCGATGGCTTTATATTTGGTAAATATATTCTGCTAGGCTACTTTTTTACTTGGTAATGATATCTTTTTTTAAAATTTTTTTTATTTTTTTCGTTTTTTGAGACAGGGTTTCTCTGTATAGCTTTGGCACCTTTCCTGGAACTCGCTTTATAGACTAGGCTGGCCTCAAACTCACTGATATCTTTAATTGTAAGATACCAAATAACTATTTTTTTTAATGTTTTTTAAATATAGTATCAACAAAACATTTGTTAACCAAAGATTATAAACATACTGATTTCTTCCAGAACTTTCATGCTTCTGCTCTATACTTAGAAACTTCCATCTTTTCCCCACATGGATAAATGGTTGTCCTGGTATCATTTATCAAGTGTAGTCTTTTTTCATTGATTTGTAACGCCCCTTTCCAGGATTCCTGCCTGAGACCTGAAGGTGTGAGGTTGGAGAGGAAGTATTTGGTTTGAGAAGGTCTGTGAAGAATCAGTAAGATCAAGCAGGCACTCAGACTTAGATCAGGAAGAGAGAACCGAGGCAGGTCTAGAGGACTAGAGGGAAAGCGAGCCATTGATACATACGGTTGGCCACCTAGTCAAGAAATACTCGAATGCTTTTCAGAACTTGTCAAAGCTGCTGAACCCATGTAGCCACACCCACTGATCTAACCTAGCTTTTCCTCTTCACGTCCTAGCAGAGGAATTTAACACCCAGTGCCTTTTACACAGTCAGGTTTGCTGGAGTGCATACGCAGCAGCTGCTGGCTTCCCAGGAC